CTGCATTACTCTTTTTATCCAATGTGCAGGGTCCAGTGAAAGATTCAGAATGGTTACACACAATGGTAAGCGCATTTTTAATCCAAGATGATGCTCCAGTCATGGCCAGAGCGTGTATCAGTCTTGAAAAAATCTTAGAAGGAATTGCTACAAAACTTACAGAAGGAACAAAAATCAGCAGCTGCCTGGCCTAGCTTTGAACTTAGCAAGTCCAGACCTTACAATCTGGACGAACTTCAGCCAGGTGCATTGCTAACATACCTCGGGGTGCTCTGTTACAACATGAGAACATGGCTGCAAGGGCTATACTGAAAAGTGAGTCCGTATTTCTTTCATCCTATGGCATTCCCTTTGAGAGGTGCATTTGCCTTATTGGTTAGGCAATAGGGATTATTTTTTTTCTAGTAGCCTGTAGTATTTAACTAGCTGAACTACTAACCCTTAAGATACTGCTGATGTGATATTTTAAAAGTCTGAGTAAAACTTTCTAATGTGCCTTTATCTTTTGAAAATGCAGATCTTCAATTTCTAAGTAGATAGATGTGCTAAAACATAGTTTCACTGCCATGCTGCTTTGTTGGTTTTTTGCTGTTTCTTTTCCTTTACTAATAGAAACTTCAAAAACACAAGCTTTGTTATATTAGCTTTTGTTATTTATTTTTCTCAGGATGATGCATTTCATTTAATGCCACCTATAACCGTAAGTTAATAATCAATTCAGGTTTGAGGTTCACATCCAAAACGAGATAAGTGAACTTCACATAAATTGTCATACTTGTCTTAGGGCAAATGTCCATTTTTATACGTGAGGGAGAGGACAAAGAACAAGATCAGAAGCAGAGTATATTAAAGCAACACTTAGATTTAGTTAGAAAAACAAAATCTCATCTTTCAGAAAAGTCCAAGAGCTTTTGGCTACTGACTTGTTTTGAAAACCTAGTCCGGAGGGGTTTGGTTTTGTTTTTTAAAAAAGTCATATAATCACCCATTTTCTATATTCTAAGCAGTGAAATGTTACTGCTTTTCTGAGAATTAAATGAACTTGTAGTGTGTTTACCAGGAGCTCAGAGCATGCACTCAGTCAGTTCCTGCGCTTCAGTTGGGGCACACGAAATAGCCAAGCTGCAGACTTGATTACTCAACTTTTAAGCTAATGTTGCAGTGCGGTTTTTTTGCAACTGAGGAGTAGACAGATGAAGTGTTGGATTAGTCTGCATTCATTCGAATGCCTGCCTTTTGGGTTTTTTTTTTAGGTAACTGGAAGACAATATATTGAAATAGCAGCAGTCTTGCAGTGATGAAAGTCTAAGGGTATATGAGTTTCAAAGACAGATGATATCTTTTGTTACCTTAACTGATACGCATGGGAAAGCAGGACAAGCTTTTGATGACAGTTATTTAATCGTCTGAAATATCAAAGCACGTTCTGTTATCTGTACAGTATGGAGATCGTGTTTTCGAAGATTTTCATGATGATTCAGTAGTTCTTTAAATACTCCAGTTAAAGTGTGTTTAAATCAGCCGGTGGGAATGAAGAATTACAGTTTTTGCCACAAGAAGGAGGTGAGTGTTAAGAACAGGCTCACTAAGTGAGCTTGGGAGATGTCTGAAAGGTTTCTTCAGTACGTGTTTTTTTGGAGTATTACTAGAGAAACTAGTTGAAATTCAGCAGAGCTTTGTATGCTGGGGTACTGCAGTGATGTGCTCATTTCAAGTTGATGAATGGACTCAATGAGAACAACGTAACGGTGGTATCGTGTACAGGGGGAAGAAATTGCTCGCTCCAGGAAGAGCTCTCCTGCCTGCCCTCGCGTCTTTGGCCTTTCTTTTAATGGCAAGCTGTATGAGTCAGCTGCCAAATGCATTTCCCCAGTGTGGCAACAGGATGTATAGTGTATTCCCATCTAGGGAATTCACTGGGGCTGTATTTCTGTGTTATTATGAGGGCTCCCCGGTGTTAGATCTATGGCAGAAAAGTGGCAGTCTCTCTCGGGCAAGGATGTTGAGCATCTGATAAAATGATGGCACGATTAGCAGCAATTTGTAATGTGCCTCTTCTTCTTTTCAAATTTAGTTACTCTTAGGTGCAGCACTGAATGTTTGAGAATTTTGAAGTATATATATAAATATATAATATTTAAGCAGTCCTATTTATCACTGCATACATTCATTTTCCTTTTGGTTTCTGTGTTTGGATGGCATATAAATACTGGTCCCAGAAGGTCCTGTTTAAGCTAGGAAATTGAGTTGACTTATTATCACTGAGATGAGAATTACAATAGGAAGAACGTTATTAGCTCGGAGTAGCACAGTCTAACCTCGCTCAAATCCCAAAGCTCCTCATTCTTCACACCAATATTTTAAAGGAACATCAGCCACTTGGAACCGGTCTGTCTCAAGTCTCTTGTAGAGCTTCTCTTCGTTAGCGTTTATGGGTTTGTACTTGTTTTCCCATCTTAAAACCTTTTTCCCTGCTGCATAAACTGTGTATACAAACAGCAAAACTGGCAGACTATAAAAAAGAGAAGCTGTTCAGTGCACAATACCCAGAATTAACAGGTGTGTAATGAGCCAGTCTCTATATAAGGTCCTTTTACTGTCTCTAGCTGGTGCCGCAGTGGGGCTTCACTGGGGTGTTGGTCCTCTGCTGGGTCTTTTTTGTGGCATTTTCACTTTAAAAGAAATGCAGTGAGTAGGGGAAGAATCCACGAGTTTTGTCCCTTATCTTTTGTTTATAATAATCCAAGGGAGTTACTGTAACTTTTTTAATAAATAAGACTTGACTTTAAGTAAAAAGACTAGATTACAAAAGACTATGCAGATTAACACATGGTTTCGTCTACATGCTGTTTCACCACGTGGTTGCGTTGTTGTGGTACTCCTTTGTCCTTTCTCATCACTATCATTTTATATCCCCCCACTTCTAAAAACTGTAGGATCCCCGTCCACCCTGCTTGCTTGCATATGGTAGAGGCAGAATGGAGGGAGAAAGGCTGCTTGCCAGCCTGAGCCCATGAAACCAGCCTTTATGAAAAACAGAGCCTGGTGAGAACTGCTGGCCTATTCCCAGTCTGTGGTAGGTAGTGATGGTAGAAGGTGAGGTCCATCAAACAAAAAGGAAAATGCTCTAGTGAACTCTTTCCTATAATCTCGCTCACACAAAAGTCACTTTGGCCTGGTGAAGTGGATTTTTGCCAAACGGTCTTTCTCAAGACCTTTCCCTCACGCTTCTGGCAGTTGGAGGGGATTTTATTTAAAGCTTTTGGCTTTGAGACTGGGCTGTAAGTCACAGGATCTCTTCTAGCATCTCTGTGCACATCAGACAGCTCTGAAACAGGGAGTCTTAGGGGATGTCAGGCAAAATATCCGTAAAACTCATCTAGACAAAGTTGCGTTTTCTAAATCAAACCAGGATATGTCAAATAGATAGCATCAAATAAAAGTGCTTGAGTTAGGATGCCTGAGCCAGACTTACATAGGCTGATGCAGTGGGATCTCCTGGACAGAATGAGTCTTTTCCAGCCTGGTGTCAGAGTAGTTCCTCTTCTCCTTCCTCAGTTCCCTTAAATTGTGCACAAGAAGGCTTTTATTGTCTCCTTTAAACTAGGCTCTTTCAGTTATATTGCCTCTTTTGATTCTTGGTGTGCTGGTCGGGAAGCTTACTGCAAATACCATTCATTTCTTAGTCTTCCAGCTTGGAAAAGGAGTTCCGGAAAGCCGGGAAGAATGAGGCACATAAAGGGATTGTTAAAAAAAGGAAAATCAAATATTTTCTGTATCTGCTATCAGCACTAATTATGCTTAAAGGCTTTTCTAATATTGTCACAGCAGGCAGAACTTACATCTTCCAGTTTCTATCGTACAAGTGGTAGGAAAATAGTTGGGAGTAGTTCAGTGCTGGGTGAGAGAACCAGAAATGACTCTTTGCAGTCACCCTTGTGGTCCAGTACAGCATCCTTCTGTCCATACAGTGCCTGGTTCAGTCCACTTAGTTGAGGGCCAACCAAGCTAACTGGAGATCTCTGTCGTGGGTGTCCTTGTTAAGAGGTATTCACTACATAGATGGTGAATGTAGTCCACAGAAACAGAATGACACTTCCCAGCGTCTGCTTCAGATTTTAGGCATCACCCAAGTTTCCAAGTTAGGCATTTCAGGTAAATGTCTGAAAGTTGGATGGGACAATTCTGGGCTCTCTTCTCTGTCCGTGTGAGAAATGCTCTTTCATATTTTTTTTTGCTTGCGCATACATACAGGGATATAATTACATACTTTGCTTTCTTTTCAGTAAAAAAATAAATGTAGAAATGAGAAAGCATTAGAAGGGCATAGTTCTGATGTAAGCAATACTTTTAGATTGCAAAACTGTCCCAGATTCCTTTCAGTTTCCAAAAAGCAGACTTAAGAATCCACAGAAGAACAACTCCCCCATCTGCCTTCCTCCTCCCCTTCTCTTTGGTTGTTCTTTTTCCAATTGTTCCCTACTTTTTTGAATAAGAGTAATGATTTTTGTGTCAGCGACAGTTATGTTATATTTCCCTTTTAAGTACTATGCATGACCCTATCTTTCACGTTCACAGTTTCCATGAAACAGAATACGGGGCTGAAACCGGTTTGGTTTATGGAGTGGAGAGGGGGATTTTCCCTTGGGCAGCTTCTATGCTTTTCCTAAATTAAATTTAGTCTTATCAAATTAATTAAGGACAGTTTCTCTTAAACTTGATCTGATCCAGCTGCTTAATGGAGAGACAAGTTAGTTTTGTTAGACTAAAGGAAAGCGAACTATTCCTTTCCTTTTTCTTCCTGGCCTTCTGCCATGAAATGAACACCAGTACTGACCTAGGTTGTAGAGACAGGAAAAGAGTGACACGGGACCTTTTGTACTACAGGGCTCAAAAATGAAATCTATGAGATTTTGTAGATTTTAGATGTTCAGAACGCTGAACAAGGTAGGCCAACCTGTTGAATATTGCCATATGGTGCCGTTTATTTCCGGGTACAGTTGACTGTAGGGGACAGTAACTGCGAGTTGCTGTCTGAGAGCGATGTGGTAGCCAGTTTAGAGAGAGGTGAGTGCTCACAAGTCTCAGTAAAAGAGGGACCTCCACATCATGATATGCATCACGGCACTTGGGACAAATAGATGTTCTCGAGCGTTAAATGAGGTCAGGTTTCAAGATCGCCTTGTTAAGTAGTGGTGGCCCACTGTTGTAAAATGGAAGCCCTGATTTAGGGCACTGCAATTCAATGCATAGATTTTCATGCTTTCTGTTCTGTGGCAATATATTCCTTCTTACTTACAAGTAAGGGAAAAACAGGAATAGGACAGCTATCAGATTGTATTATGACAACAACCTTTAACCTCATGACTATTAGCCCTTGAAATTGAAAAGGAAGTTGTGTCTGATAGACTATAGGATTTTACATGTGATTCATCCATGCCTCTGAAATATCCTCCTGCCCAGGCCTGACAAAAAGGCAGCGTTGTTATCAGGTGTCTCGGAAACCTGCTTGTAGGCCCCATTAACTGGACAGAGCGCTTACCATCCTGAGCTGTAAATTATTCCTCCAACACCGTCTTTAATTAAATTTTGAGCAAACAAGGTTTATGTGAGCTTGCTGTATTCCTGTTGAATCCTCCACCAAAGTATCAGCAGTGGAGAAGTCTGTCAAATTCCAGTAGCCGTCTTAAAGAGGGGAAAATCTAGAAAGTTTAATGAAAGCAGGCAACAAAGTAGAGGAGAGAGGAGCAACAATCTCACAGGGGTAATGGCTACAGCTTCTTATGATACATCAGAGAATCAACACCAGTTCATAAAACTGATACTCAAATGTGTTGTAAACCAGGCATCGTTGGTCCATTACCTACAGAAGGATTTTCGCAACGTGTTAGGTAGGCACAACAATTTGCAGGTAGAGATGAAATGTAATCTAGCTGTTAATGTCTGAGAAGCAGGCACTATCTCTCTGCTGTCTGCAGTGCCTAACAACAGAGGAGTCCAACCATCGTGCTGCTGTTCAGGTACATCATGAAGATACAGGTGGCATTTTATTCTCAGCAAATATGCCGGCTGAACTTGAAGAAAATGCAGAAATGGAGGTGACATTTCTTAGTGGTAGCCTCAGACAGCTACCTGCGAAGCATGATATTATGAGATTGTGAAAGATCTCATTTTATCTTTATGAAAGCTATCACACGGCTGAAGAAACTGCCGTGTCTTCAGGGTTGCCTGTTTGACGTTTTTTAACCACCACATTGCATTTACGGTTTAAAATGTTCATTTCTGAAGTAATTTTGAGTTAGGAGGAGGCTGACTTTTTGGAGCTGTTCCAATTTTATTCTCCCACAGGAGAAACCCCTAACCTTATAGTTCATTGGTTTATGTCAATACCAGTAAAAGTACATTTATTTGAAACTCGACAGATCTCACCAGGTTGGCCAGGGCTATGTGCATTCTGGGGATAACCTGCTCAATTCAGGCATGAGTTCAGCTGCTTTCCGTCCCTTTATGAATAGGAGATGCACCCTCCAGCCTGGGCTTGTGCGCTGGTACCTGGCTCCCAAGCTACCAGGAAAGATTGCGTCATGTAGCCTAATCGTTACATTTACTGCCTGAAAATAGGGCTATATGAGAAAGGGCTGTACAGGGAGGCAGGTGAAGATGTTTTCTGGGTGAGAAATCCCCCTAGAAGTTGAAACTGTCCACAAAATTCCTTTTGTTTTAAGTTTCAGCTTTCTACACTCTTGCACACATACAATCAAATAAAAATCCTATTTCAAAGTCTACGCTTACAGCACTGAGGTTTAGCTGAAGTGACAGACATAGGTTAATGTCCTGCCATCAGGGAAAGACTGAAAGTCTGAAACACAGTTGGTGTATTTTTTAATTGGAATTTTACAGTTTTCCACTAAGAGGAGTAACTGATCGCTCTTTGCATCTTATGTGCAAGGAAACACTTCAAGAAAGTTGAGATGTGTGAATTCTCTCAGTAAGAAAAATTATCCGCAATCTTCTTGCATGTCCCATTCCCTGTTAGCCTTACCATTGGACCTGATGGTAAATCACACACAAAGATGAGTCCTAGACTATCATGGTTTGTACTGTTATTTAATTCATCGTTCTCCTTTTTATTCAGTATTTATTATCTGTTCTATAGTATAGAGAAGATGGAAGATTACTGTGGGCTCTCTCAGCATTGAAATGTATATAGAATATTATTTTATTTTTTTTTACAATTATTCTCAATTCTAGAAGCAGTACCTGAATTAGCTGTTTCTTTAAAATCATTGTCAATGATTTTAAAATAGGGATGGGGTGCTTGCTGGAGAGGGGAGAAAGGAAGACACTGGCATCTGCTGCCTGTTAAGTCCATTAATTGAAAAGAAAATACTGCTGGTGCCAGAATGTACAGCCCTGCTCCTAATTAAGCCTAGGGAAGCAATGGGCTGGTTTTAATTGAGAACAGCATCTCCCTTAATGGTGCCAGCAGTTAAAAAACGCAAATAGATTCAAAGCGGGAAGCACATGCAAGACAGTAGTGGCTCTTTATTTAGAGGGTCAGTCATTGTGCCATACTTGGAAACCTGCATCCCAGCGCAAGACCTGGAGGAATAATTGGGTCCAAGTTACGGGCGGAGTCCTCTATACTTTTCGAGGTCTGAGAGCTGGGTGTTTACAACACAAATTAGCAGTAGTCATTAGTAGTGTGTCCTTTCAGAAACAGTTAAGGAAGAAAGTAATTCCTGGTGACTTTGGTGGCAGGAGGAAGAGCTGCCATGCCTTACTTGGCGTGTGGCAGTGTGGTTCCAATTAGCGTAGTCTTCATATTTGAAATGCTTTCTGCCCAGGTCACCCACGAGTTCAGGCGCCTGGTGTGTGTGCCACGTTTCAATCCTGGAACCCCTAATTATCCCTACTTATGATAACAGTGTAAAAAATAAAAATCTTCATTCTGAAATGATCAGCCATTAGGAGCTTTGTGCCAAAAAGGTCCTAAGCCATGTCTAGTCTGCTTTCTTAAGGGAACGAGGCTTATGTGATTGTATCATCTGTTTTCACGCTTGTCTCTCCTGTTCTAAAAGCTTTTGAATCCACTAGGCGATCTCAGCCGAAAAGTTCAGTGAAAATAGGTGGCCAGGCAAAGCAGAGACACAAATTAATTCCCCCCTTGAGGGGAGAGGGTTAGGGGTAAGCTCAGCTACATTATTAGACATTAATGAATCCACACGGGACATACGCCTCTGCTTCAGGAGCAGCTCTGAGTAGGGCTCCCACTTCTGTTAGACATGGGATAATCAAACCCCAAGCCCTGGGAAATCAGTCTTTGTAAGTCCCACAGCTCGCTTGCTTTCTTTGCTAGATCGGGGTTTGCCTGGCCCACTCTGGAAAAAACCTCTTCATTTCTCCAGAGCAGGAGGCTCATCCTTTGCCCAGCCATCTGGTCTCCCCACCGCATGGAAAACTGCAACGTTGAGGCTTATCCACCATTTCGAAGCAGCTTTTTGATCCATATTCGCTGCCTTCCAACACAGACACCAGTGTCCTTTGATTAGGCAGTGAATGTATTAGATGCATCCTTCTGTGCCCCTTCCAGAGGATGTGAGCCTGTTTTTTTACAGAGCCTGGCTCTTTAGCTCCAGCTATAGACAAAAACAAGGCTCACACCACCAGAGCAGCTGCTGCAGCCCATTTTATCAGCTAAAATGTCCACCATCACTCCAAATCGCAGACATTTAACCAAAGCCAGGCTTTGGGACACAGAAATATCTCGGCTCCATCTGTTGTCTTGCGGTTGCTGAGTTAGTTAGCATATTGAGTAACACTTTAAAATCTGAGGTGCTTCTGGAACTACAGATTAGATGAGAAGTACCTTGAGTGATGGGTGGCCCTGGCTCTATGTGAAGGGAAAACCCTGGCTTCCCAGTCCTCCCAGCTCAGGGTGCTAACTGCTTACACCTGAATGCCTAAACCAGCCTCTGCTCATTAAACAATTCTCAGCCAACACCAAAGTACCTTTCAACAGGAGAGTTTTTAAATGGGACTTCACTTACATCATAGTAATTTCAAAAATGCAGTTTGGAAGGGGGCTGAATTGTGTATACCCCATCTGGAAGGTAGGAAGGAGTCAACAGTGAATTTGCTATCAGTCTGGGATTTTTGTCTAATATTTCTACAGCTTAAAGACTGGTTTTGTTTTGTCTTTAGTCCAGATCATTTAGTAACCTGGCTCATCTGACTTGGACTATAATGACCTGGCTATGGTTTTAAGCTGCTGCTGTGAGCCTAATTGTGGATTTAGACATGGCTTATGTTTTCGTGGCAGTGGTCAGTAAGTCCGAGCTGCGTGTTGTAAGCCTATTGCCACAGTACCTGCTGGGTTTTTCTCTTGATTGCATTGCTCAAATTGTTTCTTAAACTTTTTTTCCTGTAGAAATCCAGCCTCTGATTTATTTTGGGGGGTGTTTTCTCACTTTGGCATCCTCAGTATGGTGAGCTTCTACTTTCAAGTTGTTCACGTGCAGATGGCAGCAGAATATTCAGTGAACAGTAAATTGGCCAAGAAATATGAGTAAGGGTGAGGGGAACAAATATTATTTACAAACTCTGGTTACATATAAAAATAAAAGAAGGTTATTTGGTTTTTTTCCTATGTATGGGGGGCAAAGGTCTAAAATCCAGAAAATGAAATTGGTTTTGACATGAGCAAAAATGAAACTTCTACATGGATTTGGTCACTGACTTCCAAGAAAATTCTTTTGTGTAGCTCGAAGTTTCTTTCAGTTCAGCTTATGTTCTGCCAGCTGAGGACACTCTCCAGAGCTGAGATCCAGGATGCCTCAAGGTTTCGCTATTTCTCAAGGCCCCGGCTGCAGTCCTCGCTAACCCTTTGACTTCTCCAGCTATGTCTTTTGAGATTTTGTGGTTTATGTGGTTGTGCTGTTGCAATTTGTGCTTGGGCAATGACCTCTAAGCACAGTTCCAGCGCTTAAAGTAACGTCTTTGACCTTCCAGGCAGAGCAACAGATTGAACTTTATAAACTGACCCCTGTTCATGACTCGGTAATTCT